TGGTAAAACTTAGCAAGGTTTAAGTTGCAATGCCCTTTTGCTCAATATAAAATACTACTGTTTGTATTCTCAATCTGTTTGTGTGAATGAGGAATGTATGCATTAGAAAAAGATAAGGTGTGAAGGCCATTGTTATAGCCAGAGTCAAGGAAGAAGGAGTGAAGAAACTTAAAGGACATCAAAGAATCATCAACACGCATCCATAAGGAAGGGCAGATTGACGACCCTGAGGTAAAGGCTGGCACCCCTAAAGACAATTGATTAAATTGGAACAAAGAACAGGATGACCCTCTCTGAGGTGTATTGGAATGTTTACACCAATTAAGAAGTAACCGGTCACAAAGTGACACAGCAGAATCCATAGACTTCAACAGAGAAGAAATCCTATAAGAACAGGGTGCTTTGCCATGGGACTTTGGGTTCGTCTTGCCACACTCCAGGAGCATCGGATCGCGACCGATAGAACCCCTCTCCCCTCTGTGACCAATCTGGCTGGCCACTAGATTGATCCAGACTCTGGACTGGTAACTATAAACATCACTGCAGGACTGCGTGTGTGTGTCTAAAAAGCATATGCTAACTGTGGTATTCTCAATAAACACTGTGTATTTACCTTCCTCTATAAAGATCCCGTGTGCTTTCTATGAGCATAACAACGCCGGTACTCCTGCTCCGCGAGAGGAGTACGTGGAGTCGACGGAGGGAGCCTGCCTGCCACGTGTGGACCCGCGGTAAGTTCGAACTAAGATACTTCGACTTCACGTAGCTGAAGTTGCGTATCTTAGTTCAAAGTGAGGGGTTAGTGTGGACCAGCCCTAAGAGATGAAATATTCTATACCCCATTAGCAAGTCCCTGGCCCATTCAGTCCATTAGTTGTCATTGTTAAGATTGCAGCTGCTTATTACCATGCTAGTAAGTGCATCTCATTAATTGTTCAAACCAAAAAATCCAGAGCACCATGAATGTTTTTCATCTGGTCCCGAACGTTATTACATCGCTACCTCGATATAACGCGACCCGATATAACATGAATTGGGATATAACGCAGTAAAGCAGTGCGTCCGGGGGGGGGGGGGAAGGGGGGCTGCGCACTCCGGTGGATCAAAGCAAGTTCAATATAACGTGGTTTCACCTATAACGCGGTAAGATTTTTTGGCTCCTGAGGAGAGTGTTATATCAAGGTAGAGGTGTATATTCAAAAGCCAGGCTCTGAAGAAGAAAAAAAAAGCCCACAATCACAACTCAAACTAAATAATTCTCAGTTATCAGAGGCAAACATTTTCAAATTCAGGTGCTTAAAGGTACTCAGGCACTTAGGTGGAAGTGGCATGATTTTTAGAAATGCTTAGCTCCCACAAATTGAGTCCTTCCAACTTGCACTGACTTCAGTGCAAACACCTTTGAAAATCAGGCCACATTTATCTAGGTACTTAAATATGGATTTAGGAGCCTAACTTTAGGCACTGGTGTTTAAAATTTTTGATCCCTATGAAACACTGGAATGCGTTACCTAGGGAGGTGGTGGAGTCTCCTTCCTTGGAGGTTTTTAAGGCCCGGCTTGACAAAGCCCTGGCTGGGATGATTTAGCTGGGAATTGGTCCTGCTTTGAGCAGGGGGTTGGACTAGATGACCTCTTGAGGTCCCTTCCAACTCTGATATTCTATGATTCTATGACTACTGTAATGGTTTTGCAATGTTCAAAATGAACAAGGAAGAGAAACTGTTTAACTTTGCTAGGTAGTATTTACACTCCACACACTGTATGTGTGAAGAGAGTGACATCTGGTGGATGATATTTTTTCCCCCCAAACACTTCACTGTTGAGATAAAAATCATATTATAAAATGTTTTCCTTTGTTTTACAAGAGATCACAATATTATTAAAACTGAAGCTATTTTGGAAATGTTATGTTACTTTTCATTATAATTTGTGCTTACTTTATTTAAAAATAAACTCTTAATTGAACCATTAAGTTAGGCATTTTCACATCTTGACTAACAGTGTAATCTTACTAAGATAACCTTCTAATTAATCTCCTTCCTCAATTTATTACTAAGACTACTTGCTGCATCTAGAAGTTCAGAGCCAATTTTTCAGGGCAGAGACCTTGACTTTCAATTAGCCCAGTATATTGCACAGCACATTTCAGGCACTGTAACAATATTCAATAATAACAATCACTCTGCACAACAACTAAATTTCAAATTGATGCAAGTTGGGTGCTAAGGAGGAAATACCATGAAAAAACAACAGGAAGTGGTAAGATAAAGTAAGGAAAGTCCTTCTGTTAGCTTTTCCTACTTCATTTCAGGTAGGATTGAGTTAAATCAAAATGAATGAAATCACCAATTTTGATCATGATTTAAATCAGCAAGCAGGATATCTTGGTTTAAATAAACAATTTTAACTTATTTTGCATTTGTACTTATTTATTTTCTTAAAGAAAGTTTGTTTCTCAATGGTTGGTATAATTTAGTACTTCTTTTTGCTTACCAGGGGGATACACTATATCTGTACACATTTAATTAATTTTTTTATATGTTAACATACATGTATTCAGATTCTTAATTTTTATATTAGAAAACGACTGATTCATTTCTTATTTACAGAATGATTTTTTTTAACTCATGATTTGTGATTAGCTGCATTTGGCTGAAAATTGGAATTTATTTAAAAATACACAAAACCAGCATTGTAAAATTATTTTTATTAGTTAAAACTATCTTAAATGTCCTGGATACATAAGGAAAAAAGTAAGTTTATAAAAACATGTTTTGCTTTTAAAATGAACTAATTTATTAAACAAAGATAATGTTATCTGTAATTAGTGAATTGAATTGATTGTAGTCACAATGTCCTTCAAGATTTTAGAACCAATAAATCTCATTCTCTCACACCTCATTTTAATTCATAGACTGGATGAGGAGAACAAGCGTTCCTGCTTTTTCAGCTCCCAATCAGTTTCTGAACTTTGAATGAACTAGTCATTCAACTGATCTAGTTGAATAAATTGGCACGAAGAAATTATTCTCTTTGCACCTACAAAAAAAGCTACCGCTGTCAAAAGCTGGTTTGGCATTCAACAAACTCTGGT